ATATATATTTCATAATATATAGTAGAAAGAAAAAAGATAGACATTAATTATTTCTCTCTAATCTTTGCATTAATGTTTTATTTAGGTGTACTCTCTTGTGTATGTTTAGTGTATGTACCCTCTAAATAAAGGATAAAATTGCATTATTTAGCAGCTATTTTGAAAAAAAGTTTATTCTATTGCAATTGCTTATGGCAAAGAAATCATGTCATAATTCTATATTTACGTTACTAAAACATTTTCATTTAGATCTTTATCTATATTTTAATTAGATAATATCATATCACTTATAATATCATATAACGCGAGATTCTACCCCCACCCTATACAGTTCTAGTATCACGCATGCTGTTTTCCCTATTTAATTCGTTATGCAAATGAACCCATCGTGCTAAAACTATCCCTACTTTGGTATATATTTCTGTTTATGTGTAACGCACATAATACATGAGGTTGATCCTAATTGAAACTAACAGGGAGCACTATTCTCTATCACGCTAGTATGTCTAAATATAAATTAAACGGTGGTACAGAGCTGGATCAAATACAAATATAGTATAACGTGACATAATGATAAAACGTAATTTAAATATAACTCATATTGTTATGGAAAAAGTAAGGTAAAACAGAAATATATTCACTTATTTATAAATAATTATGAAATAATATAAAAGATAAAACATTTATATTGTCTCAATTGTCTTTAATTGTATCGTCGAACCATTTATATTATTAATTTCCATTGCGTAAGCTACAAATGAATCTCCCTCGAAAGTATTTTAATCTCAATTACAGTTTTAAAATTATCTTAGTTAACCAAGAATTTATTTGTACAGTTATTTTGGAATTTTACTTGTCTGATACATAGAATGTGCTCTCTCGTTATGGGGAAAGTGTCAGGTATATTTAGCGGTAAATCATGGACCTCTGGCATTCCTCTCCCTTCTTTTAAATAACTACAGAGAGTTTATAGGATGGGACCAAGATAGTCACCCCAAAATATCCACGTTTAGAAATAAATATCAAGCATGTTTTGTGACTAGAAAAACTACATACAGTAAATAAATACTAATCGTTTATTGAGAGAACTAGTGCGTGGAACCTATATTCTTGGATTAATATGCGACGGAAAAATCAAAGAGAAAGAAACAGAAAAAGAAGGACAAATAATTGCAAGGACGCACTATTAAAAAAAAAATAAAATAAAATAAAATAAAAGGTTACCAGCGGAATTCGCGTATAGGGGAAAAGTTTTAATCAGCAATCAACCAAAATCTTCTCCGACTCAAACGAGACAGCGATAACGATATCCTAACATTTAATGTATTGATCAACCGAGAAGCAATAAATAGAGGCAGAGCGAGGGGTGTCGTGAGCCTGATTAAACTTCATTCTCCGCTAATGGTTTATAAATAGGCATCTTTTTTTTTTCTTTGCCTTCCATGCGGTCACGACGGACGGGAGAAGTGCTCCTGGAACGAACGTCCTTCCATTCCGCTGTCCTGCCTCTTCGCCTACACCTCGCCTGCCGACCTCGTCGACATTTTCCGATATTTCCTCGCCGATTTTCCTAACGCGCGGCGCCGGCATCGGCGACGTGTTTTCGCAGGAAATTGCGTATCGACACTTTTAATGGCGGTTGTTATTTGATGCTCTTGAATACGGAGATTTCAAATGATCGATGGTAAAAGCGGTGATGATGATGATGATCCGATATACGTTTAAATTAAAGCGATCGAAATAAATATTCTATGATCTTTAATTGTAGTTATGCAATTCCGTAAAAAAAAAAAAAAAAAAAACAACAGTTTATTGTGGATATCGTGTGATCGACATTTTACAAATATTTCCTTTCAAAAAGATCACAAAAGGATTATTTTTTATTTTCTACCATGCAAACTGCTAGCAAAATGGCATCACCATATATGAAACTGAGATTAACTGAATAAAATGCAAATATGCAAATGCGATATAATTGCATCAAGCATCACGCGGAACAAGCTTCAAACATTGTCCATCTCTCCACCAAAAATATCTATTGTTCTCTTATGAAAACCATAAAATTGGTACATACAGCGATTATATTATATTTCAAAATACAGAGATACTATTTTAAATGCTGTTATGAAAATATCAACAATTCAATAAATACAATACTTTAAACTCAAAGAATCTCAACAGCGTGTTAATAAAATAAAATTCTCTCTTTCTCTTCTCCCTTCCGGAAATAGTTTATTTACTATTTGAAATCGATCTATTTATTAAATTAATTATTAAATTCAATCATTTATTATTCAAAAATTAATATCATTCGTCAGCATTTCTATAGTGAACTATGAACTTTGAAATGTCACGGAGTAGTGCACACGTGCACATAGAGATTCTTCTTTTCTGTCCCGCACGCGGGCCCCGCAAATAGCCATACATAGGGGCGTAGGACGGATCGATCGTGGGGTAAAAGTGAAAGGATGCCCCAAGGGGTGACCGAGAGGACTATGAAATCGTTCATCAAGTCGATCAATTTAAGAGAGAAAAAGAGAGAAAGAAACAGAGACAGAGAAAGAGAGAGAGAGAGAGAGAGAATCAAGGATCGTTGGTTAGAAAAGAAGTGGCATGCCAAAATCGAGTCTCAAAAGACCGATCCATATCATGTTAAAGATGAAACAGACATTTCATTCCCTAGATATGTAACCGAGATACATATATTTCTTCTAACCAAGTGGAGCCAAGAGACAATTTTACTTTCCTATATCCAATTATCATTTGTCTGGAAAGTACCTAATATTTAATATAATCTCTTTCCTTATTTAATCAATAAACATCTAATTGTATCTCTGTTTTCTACATTTTTCGGGAAATATAACTGCATAAAAATATCCGATAATCAAATCTAAATTCTAAAAAAACGAATAGATTTAAAGGCAAAATCTTAAAAAATACGGAACAAATGTAATTATAATGTAAAGAATTATATATTTTTCAATTTAAAAAGAAATGTATGACATACTAATTATAAGTAATAAAAGATCTAAAAAAATAGGGAAATTCTCATCATGTGTGTGGTGACGTATTAATTTACATATACACACTTTACATGTCCGTCTCATATATAACTAAATGTATTCAAATAAAAAAGTCACATAGTTACATTAACGTGACTCTCCAAAGGACGAAATACAATTTTTTTGCAGCAACTTTTTTTTATCTTTTTATTTTTATATCTCCGTCTCGCTAATATATTTTAAACTTTATTACACAACAAAGAATGTAAAATTAAGATAATTACTGATATTACTATGCTCTTGTCAGTCAAATCCTAGTTAAATTGGCGACTAACAGTTATTTCTAGAAATTCTATCGAACATCATTTATAAGATCATGGAAAGCGTATTCCATGTAAAGAGGATTGGTACGTAAAGGATGAAGGCAAAATTCTGGATTTTCTCGCGAGAGATCATGTGCGGTTCGTACCTTCGCGACAATCTAGTGGATCTCGGCGACGGATGACGGCTTATACCTCGACTGCGTCATTTCAGTGGATTCGATTTCGTCGGTAAATCCAACCAGATGATATCGAGACACAAGGGAAATGGATGAAAATGTTATATCAAACTAGGGGGAAAAACTGTCGCCCCGACAGTCAAACAAATTCTCGACCTAAACATCGTCTCACGTCATCACGTGTATTTATTTCATGTATGTACGTATATAGGTCAATATGCAATGTCACAAAGGGCATTTAAAGCACGTTTTTAATAGAAGACAAATGAAAGAGAGAGAGAAAAAAGGATATAATTATCATATATATTTAACAAAATTGAATTCAAACCCATGCGTCATATCTGATATGTTTCAATACAAAATTTTTTATAAATATATTTTTTCTGTAATCATTAATTAAACAAATTGACAAATTGACATTTATAAAATTTAATACTAAAAAAAATGTTAAAAATATATAAAAAAATGTTTCAAATAATTACTCCTCTTCAAACATGTAAGTCAATCGGATAAATTCAAATAATTAAATTAATAAATATATAACTAAA